CCGTTCAGGCCAAACACCCTCTCTCTCTCTCTCTGTGTGTGTGTGTGTGTGTGTGTGTGTGTGTGTGTGTGTGTGTGTGTGTGTGTGTGTGTGTGTGACAAGGAATATTTCTCATTGGTACAGTCATGTTGAGGGCGCGTGGTGTTATCAGATAGGTACTAGAACGCAAAAACAAGCCGTCAGAACTATATGTTTCTCGAAACACAATGCACCCTCATCATGAAAGCTAGCTTCAATACATTCCAAATACACACACACACACACACACACACACACACACACACACACACACACACACACACACACACACACCAGACAGGCAGACAAGAAGACACACCTGTGTAGGCACACAGGAAGGCACACCTGTGCAAGCAGACAGGCACACATGGACACAGACATGCAGACAGAAAGACAGCCAGGCACACAGGAGCTGCAGGCAGGCAGGAAGGCAGACATGCACTACGGGTAGGCAGGCAGATGTGCTGTGAAAAGGCAAGTAGGTACAGTCTGTACGGGCACAGATGCCAAGAGGTATGTGGGGGAGAGCAGAGGGCTTGATCCCCATGGCAGTAAATGCCCAGCAAACACATCTGCAGAGAGCTAGGTAGAGAGGAGGTTGTGAGAATTTGAGAACAGATGAGAAGGGGTGGTGCCTCACTTGCATAAACATGACCGCCTCACTTATGCTGAAGAGTGTGTTCAGGAATTCCCAGCGTGACTCGCTGCGTAGATCCACAAACTCCCGTCCGTATATTTGACTGCAAAAGGCAACACACAGGTGGTGATGCCTGAGAGTCTATCAGTGTGTGAAGAGCACAACAAGAGCACATTACAAAGATCTCGAAGGTGGGAAAACCACTGAAATATATTGGCAATTAATCCTTACACAGGGAGTTTGAAAAATAGTTAAACTACATCACAGAAGAGTAGAGCGACAGAGAGACTGAACATCCAGCCTTTTGATTAGCAGGGCAGATATCCAGTGCACCTGTGGCCGCCTCCTGACCTGTCAAGCAGGAGGCCAACTGGGCATGGCCCCACAAACAATGCACTCAGTGGACCTATGGCCTAAGCCCTACACCCTAAACCCTATAAACCTGACCATCTAAACCCTAAACCCTAAAATCATAAACCCTAAACCCTAAACCCTAAACTCCTAAACTCCTAAACTCCTAACTCCAAAGTTCCTAATCTCCTAATCTCCTAATCTCCTAAACCCTAAACGTCCGGGCAGCAATCTGGCAGGATAAAAATGTCCGGGTCAGGAAGAGCAACTGGACAGCCCCCTCTACACAAGCGCGAGCGAGGTGCTTTTTCCTTCAAAGTAGCCAGAAACCCCTGTGAGACTGTGTCAGTCCATTTATCTGGGGGCCAACGAGCCACAAATCACACCCTGCCACCCTGGCCATTTCTCAATCGCCAAGAATGGCTTGGCAGATGGCCAAGGTATGTGTGGAAGAGTGTCATGTGTATTCATATTGATGCAAAGTTCAGTTACAGACTTTTGACCCAAGCTTTCGTTACAGAGAAACCTTCTGTAGCAGACTGCTTTCTTTCGTCAATTGCTGATACTGCCTTCATCCTCCTGACTGGCCTGTAGATCCAGGTACATGATCATCCTCGTCCTCCTCTGCCTTGCCTGCTTCCCAAGGTCTCTTTCATCCACTGCTTTCCCCTCCTCCCCCTCCTCCTCCTCCTCCTCCTCCTCCTTCCTTGGAAGTGTCAGATGCACAGTCTGTGAGATGGGGTAGTGAGCGTCCGGGGTAGAACCTGTGTAAGGTGGAGAAAATGCCGGTTCCGCCGAATGGTGTCCTGGACCAAGGGACATTCAGAGGGCAGCATATGAACAGCTAGTAGCAAAGCATGGATATCTTCTGAGCAAGGGTATTGTTCCAGTGAAGGTTCGGTCCGAAGTACCTCGCTTTCCGCTGTAGAGGGAGGGAGGAGAGGGAGGTATGGTAGTGAGGGAGAAGGGACGGAAGAGGAGAAAGCAGGAGGGAGAAGAGAGATGGAGGGAGGGGCGGGAAAGACTGGAAAAGACAGGGGTCAAGAGAGAGAAAGAAAGGCACAGGGAGCGACAGAGTGCTCAGCAGACAGAAAGGAGGGAAACAAAACGGCAGGGAGACGAAGCGGGGGGAGAATGAGTGAGGGATCAGGGGGGGGGGGAAGATAAAGGTAGAGAGAGGGAAGAGCAAAAGGGGAGACGAGGGAACAGGGAGATGACAAATAAAGATGCAAAGATGGAGAGGGTGCAGAGGAAGGGCATGGGAGAGCAAGAAAGGCAAAAGGTTTGCTCAGTGAGGGCCTTTCCTGAGAAAGTGGAATACACCCTGCCTCACTGGCAGGGCACTAAGAGAGAAAAAACAAAAGGAAAAAAAAGCAAACAAACAACAAAGGTTTGGCGGCTTTGGCCGTGATAGTGGTCAGATACATTCTGAAAAGTACTAGGGTGAGTAGGGCCTTCCCCGACATCATTAACCTTGATTTGGGTTCGGTTTTTTTTTTCCCCTTTCTTTCTTGTCCATTTTTGTGCCATCTGCTGGCACGCGATACAGCACTTCAGTGTCAGGTAGGCTGGTACTGGCAGCTCCCTGAAAGAAAACAACAACATGCATTGTAGATTGCAGGCTCGGCAGAAAGCATTTTTTGGTTCATATAACCCCTCCTAGCGTGGCAGTGTGGTTTTCTATAATAAAAAAAACGAAAAAAAAAAACAGTGTGGTTTTCTATTAAAAAAAAAAAAAAAAAAAAAACTTAGTGTCTGATGGCGCCAGCGGTCTAGCTCGGTTGGTAGAGCACACACATGGCATTCAGGAGGTCGTGGGTTCAATTTCCCATGCCTTGTCTGTTCCATTCCCCACGGCCCCCTACTGCGCGCTTTAGGCTCACAGGTTGAGAACTTGAGATAGTTGGCTTGTCCCCCCTTGACTGGTCTTGGCAGGATTCAGGGCTCCGGCCATCCCTCCGTAGGGGTCAGGAGCCTGGGTGCTACTCCCCGCACAGGGAAGAGTGGATAGACATAGGTGGGTTCCCTCTAGCAGTTCCCCTCCGGTGCATTGATATGGAGTTCTGCCATGCCAGATATGTGGGTAGATAGCACAGGGTATGTAGGCAGTTAGTGTGAGGTGAAAAAAAATATTGAGAAAGAGTGTGCCCTATATGTGAGGACAAGACAGCCTTTCAAAAAAAAGGGTCCGGTGGACTGGTGGTTCAAGGGAGATGCAAGGTCAACCTGATGGCTTTCTTGGATAGCATTTTCGTTCCATGCATTGCTCGCTTCACAATCCCAAATCTGTCGGCTTTCACAAGGTTACCCCTCTCCTTGTCCATTATCAGCCCCCTAATGGCCTGCAAATAATTCATGGAGAGGCAGGCAGGCAGGCAGGCAGGCAGGCAGGCAGGCAAGCAGGGAAGACGGATATACACACAGCCAAAACAATTAGTTAGAACATGTAAGCCATAACATTGATTGTTTGAAATCCCCCTGACCTGGAATACTCAGCACACACACACACACACACACACACACACACACACACACACACACACACACACACACACAGTGATTCCAAGGGGAACTTTCTCTGGCTTCGCACTTGAACGTTTACCCAGATCCATTCCCCCGATCTCGAGTACTTGAGCTCTAGTTCACACAGACCTCCTCATGAGTCGGTGAAAGTCCAACGAAACAGTCTGGCACATTCATGCTTTTTTTCTGTGGAGTTGCATAGAGTGAACATGACAACACACACACAGATTCAACTAGAGGGGAAGATGGACAGACAAACTGACATAACAAAGTAGTTGGAATTGAAAATGAAATAGAGAAAAGTGTTTGACAGGGAGGGATGCAAGGGATGGCAATAACAATGGGGGTCCGACCCTCTTTTTTTTCTTCAATTGCTCCCGAGGGCAGTGCGCTGGTATACAACAGGGATGCCTACCGCCCCACCTTTAACTACCATTACACCCGGTCCTGACCTGCCATACCGTCCACAACGCGCCTGGCCAAGAACTGGACCAGTCTCAGGCATTCGAGGAGTCAAATCTTCAGAACGTTAAAGGCGTCAAAGAGACCTAACGATGAATATGTTGGCGGGCCCTCTGTTTTGACTTTGCCTCCCATTTGAGCTTCCATGCCAACCTCACCAGGTGCTTCTTTTTTCTTTGGCACTCCGCTAGTCATTAGGCTAGAAAATAGTAGGAGGCCCACAGATGTACAGGTGGTTTACCCTGCTGCCCCTGGCAGGCCCAACCCAGCCCTGCATTGGCTTGATAACCCCGACTACTGATAGGCCTGTGACAGGTTCCCTAAAATAGGTGCTTGGAAAGGGAGGTGGTTTGAGTTATTACACTGGATGGAGTTGAGATATCCAACTGGTTACCAATAAGGATAAGGAACAAACACCAACTGGCCTAGCTCAGTTGGTACACCTATGAACTGTTGGAATGCAGCCCTGAGTTCGATTCCAGATGGAATAAGATGAGCTTACACGGGGCCGGTTAGCTCAAGGATGAATGATATCTCAAGGCCGTCGCCCTTTGTCTCGGTGAAAAAAAAGGACAAGGAACAGAGAACGAGTATGTATATTCACACACGGCCAGGCAAAAAAGCATCCTGTTCTTCGAACATATGCGTGCCGGCGATAAGCAACCGGACTGCTGCCCCTCAGAATAGACGGGGCCTCAGCTTCTTTGAGGTGGGGCCGGGGGGGGGGGGGGGGGGCCGGGGGGGAATCCATCCTGTTCAAATAGCATAGCATTGGTCGAGCAGTGATCGCACAAAAGCTGAGCACACAACCAACCCGCGCATCGCATTATCTGGCCTGGTGGAAACAACCGGGAGGGACGGAGTGTTGGCCCGCCTGGCAGTTTCATAAGCTGATTTACAACAAAGCGACACAGAATAGCATGCAGAGCTGCCAGGCTCTTGCAGGCCAGCCAATGGCATGAAAGAGTACGATGAATTCGCAAAACAGAAGACAAGGTATGGGTAGCAGATGCAAACGAGAGAAGCAAACCGAAAACAACACCACTGCCATATCGAAATGGATGCACTTGTGAAAGAGAGGCAAACAACTCCTTTCCTTTTATGTTTTAGTTTTACTTCCCTCCTTCCCTCCTTTGCTGAACAGAGGTCAGTCCAACATATTTCATGCCTCCATATTACTTACCAAATCAGGGTCGAAGCGCAGGCCATCGACTGGGTAACCCATTTTTCGCAGATTATCCATTCCATAATTGTACGCAAGGCCCTCCCACGCCTGCAAAATAAGCAGCACAAGGGGACACATTTGAAAATTTGCAGGTATGAACGGGGGTCCTGGAAAGGAGGAGGCCTGGAAGGAAGAGAAAGACACAGTTGAAAATTTTGAAAATCAGCAGGGTAAGAGGGGCGACGGGGGGAAGAGGGGGGAGGGGGGGGAGGGGAGGGGGAATGACGCAGGATCGCTGAATGACTAGAATCAATGCATCTGAACTTGTGGTTTTGACGGGTATATATGTCGTGTCCATTATCAAGCGGTTGCTGGCGAGGATGCATTTAGCTGCCGTTGGCATGTGAAAGGGCGTGCAACAACCCTTCTTTTGTTTTTCTTTGTTTTCTTTGGAAGCGGATAGCCCCAAAGCAAACATTCTTATATAATATAGATTCATCTGATCGCATTCGGATTCGAACTCGTAACCTGTTCACTAATAGTTACATGAGTGTTTTTAAATGTTTTACAATTCACCAGCCACATGGTTGAGAAAGCAAACAGAAGAGTTCGACACAATCGAGCATGAACACAATAGTATTTCTGATAATTTTGCATCCTACGGGACATCCATTAAAATTGGAATGATATAAAGAAGATTAGCACTTGTGCAAGGATGACACGCATAAATCGAGAAATGGTCCAAATTTTTCATTTAAAAAAAAAAAACTCATAATTCGGAAAATCAGTGTAAACAACACAATGAACTTGAATGAAACTACGATAAAGCATGCGGGGGAAAACCCTCAGAATTGTATATCATGCTTGCCGGTAATAAGCAACCAGACTGACGCCCCCCACAATCGAAGGGGCTGAGTGTGTGCGTGTTAAAAAAAAAAAAAGGATGCCACCGCCGTGCGTACCAGAAATCAGTCACATGGGCGGGGTTCAGCAAACCTTCAGGTGTCTTCAGAGATTGAAATCCTCATCCCCATTTGCATGACACCCCAACACGACGAACGACAATCAGTCAAATTCATGCCTGACAAAGAGATACCCAAGCCAAATTGAAGAAGACCACGCAAGGGGGAGGGTAGAAGTAACGTGGAGACGGGCAACGACCTGACCAGGGAGATGGAGACAAAACAACATGAGGAAGATGCAGGCAAATCCACCCCCTGCCCCAAGGGGGGGGGAATGTCTCTCTGAGGGAGACATACACAGGCACCTTTCAGTCAGTAAATATAATCGATAATGAGTAGTTATGACCATCTGTTCCATTTGGGGGAAGACGGCAGTGTTAGTGGCACTCCTCCCTGACCCTGAAGGCGAAGTACCGCACGCAGCAGTGAACGTGGGCATCATCCACCATAGCCAGAAGTCTGAAGGGCGATTATTGGTGCCACTCGCTTCGTGCTCCATCACCAGGGTTAACACTCAGAGGGGAGAAGAGTGAGCGACGACTTTTTCCCCAAGGCAAGTATTTGGCCTCGCACCCGTCCTATTTTTCTCTGGATTTGTGGATCTGGGTTTGATGTCTGGCGTTCGTTTTACAACGCACGCTCATCACACACTTAGCGCTTTAATTGTAGGTTGTCGGGATTCGAACTCGCACACACTGAGGTGAGGTTCGAACTCGCGTCCAGGACTTAAGACGCACCAAAAAACTGATCAGTTAGTTGATTGATCACTGAGATGGTTTCTGTCCGTATCTGAAACAGAGGAGAGGTGTTTTTTTTTTTTTTTTTTGACTTTCTCTACCACTCCCCTGGAATGAAAATGAGAACCCAGGACGTCTACCTTCTTCGCCCAAATACAAAGAACAGACATTATAGCTGTATTTGGTGCACCTTTCCGTCTAGATACAGCGATAACGACTGTTCTTTCTATTCGGGTGAAGATGGCACGGGTCACACCTGGACCTATGCTATCATACGCTTGGGGGGAGCACGGATCTGACTGTGAATCGAGTCAAATACAGATGGGAAACGCTTAGTGTGATTCAGCACTTATAAGAAACAAAAATCTACAATGGGAAATAACAGGCTAGCAAGATCCATGCAGAACGATTAAGCCCCTTAAGCCCAACTTGGTGCGAATCGTCAGTGACCTCTGCGGGTGGGTGTTTGACCTCTGTGGGTGGGTGTTTTGCCCAAGGGAAGATAACATAAAAATCAGCCTGAGAGGTTGCCTAAAAACAAGATGCTTGTGCAGTGGGGAAGGGAGAAAAGAAGAGGAGGAGGAGGAGGAGGAGGAGGAGGAAGACAAGGAGGAGGAGGAGGAGGAGGAAGA